TGGGGGTACTCTTATGTTTTGCATGCCTTAGCGGTTAGACCATTGACCACGCGTCCTCGAGAGGGGGCGCAAAGGAACCGACGTTCTCAGAGGGTCCAAGATAGGGGCGGGGGGCAAGGGAAACTACGCTCTCAAACGGTCCAGGAGGGGAGGGGGGCTGGACATATCTCAAGGTGAAAGTGTACGTACATTATTTAGAGGTAGGCGGAGCCTTACCCATGATGGTTGGGGTTTCTTTCGCGGAATTGAAACACATGTCAGTCACCGCCCATGCAAACATGGCGATAGCATCTGGATTGTCTTCATTACCGCCATCACCAAGATCGACAGCATCTCACCTCCATGTGCTGATCCCGCAATGTGAGCACGATGTAGGTGAAGTGGCTTTTCCCGACCTCTTCCGCCCGTAACCGTCCCAGCAGCTCGTGCGCCGGCCCGTTCCGTTCGGCCTCCGGGCCCTTCGCGGAATAGATTGACGGTTACAAAATCAACACAAGCCCATTCATCAGTGTATTGCAGTCTTAAACAGCATCATAGCGACGGCTACAAAAATGTACTGGTATAAACATCACCCATATTAACTAACGGTTACCCAATAACAGAAGCAAATTCTCAGCGCACCGTCTCATTTTTTTTCTTTTTTCACTTCAAATCAGCACTCACAGCACTATTGCCGTTTACTCCAACCCGTGGTCACACAGAAGAGCCCCTCTCTACCCTCCCCTCCTGCGGTACTTTGCCTTCGATTATTAATGCGAGAAGAGTTCAGCACCCTCTTTCCTCTGTGTACACACGAACTAGCGCTATCCACTAGGCCAGGAGCGGAAGCGAGAGAAAAACTCACTTTGCAAGAAAAGCTCGCTTACGCCGGGACGGGATTCGAACCCCTGACCTGACCTCTAAAAGGTTTCGAGGGTACCAACTAGACCACCGGGGCGACCGGCATTAACGCATACGCAAGCAACAGAAGCCATGTAGGAAGGACCGATTGGCCATATCGGTCATCACATTCCTCGCGGTCCAAGGCACGCAAAGCGCCAGTACGCCACACACACCCTCTCTCACCTCCTCCCTGCTCTTTCCGGGGTTCCTCTGCTTGATCTTGTCGCGGAACATGGCGGAATTGGTTTCCGCTCGACGCTCGAACTCCGCTTCGTTCATCACGAACTCGCACACGTCTGGCAGGCGGGCCGTCTTGGTCACCACCTGAAGATAACGTAAGGTAGATTGATAGAACGGAACAAGGATCATAACCACGATCAACGATAAAAGAAACGCGCCGAAAATTGAAGGCAGTGTCACCTGTTGATGTGTACCCATGAGCATATTATTTTTGGTTTCCTTTTTGTTGTTGTAACAGGATCGTCAAGCAGGCGGGCCGTCCTCGTCATCACCTGAAGATAGACAACATTGGTAGATAGATAAAAGCACGGCAAAACGATTACATCGCGACCCACGATATGTATTCGCTAAAGAGCAGGGGGGCAAGTAGCTGACGTGTTGTTACCCTGGTATTTGTTTGGTTGGCACCCCGTTTATTCTGGACGTCGGTCTCTAGTCACGTTTCGGTATAACTAAATTCGTTACGTTTCGGTACAAATAGTCACATTAACTTCTGGACGTACCAGCCGGGGTCAAACAGGAGGAAAGGCCAACAGGATTTTATCTTCGCATTCTTTTTGCAGTGCTTGCCTTAAACTTATCGAAATTGATCCACGGAACGATGTAGCAACTGCCGGGTACAAATCATATTCAAATAACAAACAAACAAAACCCAACAGGGTAATCAAACAAGGCTATCGTTGGACAGCTCAGTAATTCACCGAACTGACCTAAAACACATTTTAACTCGGTCAATCACGCACATCAACGCGGCTACCTCGAGTGTTCGGACGGTATGGTTTTTACTGGATTTTACCGTATTCTTTTCTCATGCCTTACCGTCAAACACGATCCGATGTAGAACCCTGCTTGGAGAGCCCCCACTCCAAACTTCGAGATGAACCCAGAGCTATTGGGATTCCAGAGGCAATGTAGAGCAGGGGGGGGGGGGTCGTGGTTGCTTTCGGGCGATCAATGGCTGGATTGTTTGATCCTCAGCTACAAGTAGCTCTTCGGTGAGAAACAGCAGCAGCGATGACGACGACAGCACGACACCCGAGCCGTTCCAAAATCTGAAAAAAAGTCTTATCCAACCGAGGGCAACAAACAGAAAGAGACAGCACCCGACGCCGAGGTACAAGTTAACGCGGGCCCCGCAGGTGTGTTTGTATCTGGTCCAGGAACAAGTCGTTACCCATCCAACCTTGTGAATCTACACGTCCGACCCTGCACCGCTTCTGCTTAAGAGCACAGCATTGCCTTCCCTCACGTGTACACGCCAACGAATGTCTTCCACAGCAGTTACAGCAGTGGGTAAGAAATGTCGAAAGCTCATCTCGCCGGGACTTTTCTACACCCAGGCAAGCAGCATGAACGCCTGGCGCACCGATCTGCTTCTAAGCCGAGCTTCCTTACAGCGTGTTCTACAGGCATTCTTCTCACAGCACACACAAAAAACAGACCCAACACTCAACATTATCCACGGGAAAAACAGTCCAGGATAAAAGTAGCGATGATGTCATAGTCTTAAAACTGCCCCAACAGGTCAAAAGCTGCTGGAAAACAGACAGGAGCTCCCCGAGCAGTCTCCACTGCCAACGACCTTAAAACACAAGACGTATTTACTGTTCTCATTAACTTTTCGTTCCTTCTACTTTTCCTCGAACAATCCGTCTATTATTTATTGCGAATCATGACCATTGACCGTTTCAACCTGAGGGGGCACCGCAGCCACGGCCAAAAAAAAATAGAAGGAAACTCCGTTAAATCAGCATCAGCAGCAGCGGGTCCCAATGCGTGGCTCGCACTACTACTCCGGGTACAAAAAACGACAACCCACCAAATGCTGCCCTTCATCTTGCCGGGGGTCCCGCCGTGCGGTCTCGGCGCCGCCGGACCCTTCCCCTTCCCGTTCGCGGTCTGCGCGCCCCCCGCGCTCCCGCTTGCGCTGCCGCCCTGAGACACGCTTGGCTGGGATTCCACGAAGGCCGGGGTGGATGACCCAAGAGGGCCGGACACGCCGCGGTTCTCCTGTCCATGGAAATGAGTGAGGGCAGGGGACACGGTTTTTTAGAAAACCTGCACACAATCACGCAGAGAGACTGCCCGTTCGAGATACATATTTCGTGCCAGGATAATCGAAGGAATGTGTTGCAGTCTTTACAGTGCAGTGAGTGTTGAGGAATCCCTGGTGAATACATACTGGATGCATAATGAGCCTGTTTAAGCCAAAACACTGAAGCCGTTTAAGCCTAAAACATGGAAGATGTTAAGCCTCTGTTTAAGCCTAACACATTCGAGCTATTGAAGCCTAAAACATTCAAGCCGTTTAAACGTAGACTTTGAAAGAAGAAGGATGCAGACGGGTCTTCATGGTAGGTTGGGTTGAGTTTTGGCTGAAAATTGTCCTTTTCTCTCTGGTACGGCAAGGTGCAAGTCCGTGATTGGTTGGTTAACTTCTTCCTCATCCTCATCGGTGATTGGTCGCGGTTTCTCCCTCAGCCACAGCCCACGTGGGTTGATTTTACCAGCCATGCTTAATTCGCAGAGGTAGGTCTACAGGAGTAGCACAACGTTGCAGGCGCCGCGGACGCCTGCAACGAGCCTGTGGTAAACGCATGGCAAAAAGAGATCGGCCGACCACGTTTTGAATGGCATCTCTAGGCCAGTACTACTCTGTTGTTCGGGTTGTCATCGTCAGCAGCACCATCATCAGCACCATCAGCCATGGGGCACCACTATCACCACCACCGCCACCACCGACCAGCACCATGACTCCTCAACACAATCATCAATATCGCCACCCCCGCCATGGTCGAACCTGCGTGAGGAAGTAGGTCGCGAAGTCCTTCAGCCCGGCTGCGTTCATCCCTCTGCCATTGTCCTTCACCACGAGGAAACTACCCCCCCTACCCCCCAGCTCGACCTCAATCTCCACCGTGCGGGGCCCCGGATTGTCGGTGGTTGCCTGATGTCATAGTGTAGTGCACCAACGAACACATGGGGGGAAGAATATATCACACGTTGAACATACGCAAGACAGTCGAAAAGCTTTAGGACAGAAATGGGGGGGGGCGGGGGGTGTACTCATAGTCGTGCATGCCGTAGTCGTTACACCATTGACCTCGCATCCCTATAAAGCCGGGACGGAGCACGCCGGGTTCTCACCGGACCAGGCTCTCACATCACCAAGCGCGAAGCACCGTGAGGTATTATAGGGGAGGGAGGGGGAGGAAAAAATACAGCAGAAGTCGTCCCTGTGTACGGCCGCATACATCTAGTGCCAAGGCTGGCCTTTTATACTGGGCACCCGGAACAATTCAGACAAAGACACCGGAGACAACCCACCCCCCCAAACAAAACAGCTCCATTCGCTCCCATCAACCAATCCTCCTCCAACAAACCGGCCTCCTCGCCCCGACCCCTCTCACCCACCAGCTCCATTCGCTTCGATCAACCGATCCCCCGCCAAGAAACCGGTCTCCTTAACCCCGACTCCTCTCACCCACCAGCTCCATTCGCTTCGATCAACCAACCCCCCGCCAAGAAACCGGCCTCCTTAACCCCGCCCCCCTCTCACCCACCAGCTCTATTCCCTTCGATCAACCAATCCCCCGCCAAGAAACCGGCCTCCTTAACCCCAACTCCTCTCACTCACCAGCTCCATTCGCTTCGATCAACCAATCCCCCGCCAAGAAACCGGCCTCCTTCACCCCGCCCCCCTCTCACCTGGATGGAGTTGTCGACAAGCTCCGCGACGGCGTGCGGGATCTTGCTGAAGTGGGCGTCTCCGGTCTTGGTGATGGTGTTGAAGTGCGGCTGGTACGACACCTCCAGCTCGACATCACCCTCCAGACTGCGGGGCCACAACAAAGAAAGCGGGAACAGCAATCGACGAGACCGCAGCAGCGGTAGCATTTACCCGTCCGGTACGTGACGTTACAAGGTCGTCTACCCCTGATCATGCGTGTGGTGCACGGCGATAGTAAACAGTACCACAGCAGCAGCGGTAGAATATGAGTAACGGGTAGGTGTGTTGACGCTGCAGCTCGTCACCCCCAATCGTGAGTGTGGTGCAGGCAAACGCCTCCTCTATGGCTTTTCATGGGGCCGACACACACACGCACAAGAGCGTTCGTTTAAGCTTGGGGCTTGAGGTGCAAGGACGCGCCTCCCTAAGCCTTCTTCCGCTCGGTCGTTTATACACGCCTCTGGTGCGACGTTCTGGACTCGACGATGACACCAGACGTGCCTTACGATACCGACGTACGACAGCACTTCTTGAGATACCAAAGCAATCTTAGCATACCAAGGCTGTCTCACGATGCTAAAGTTAAATTCACGATACATGCCAAAGTTGTCACGCGACACCAACTCTGGCATAGAGCAGCAAAGGTGACCCACGACAACACTTGTTTTCGCAGGTGATGGATGCGTCCCTAAGCACGCTTCCGCTCGTAGGTCTACACCAGCTGTGTCATGTTCTGGGCTTTGGAGGACGAAACAAAACCTCTGCCCTCTAGGGCAAAACACCAAGGGGTACAAAAAGCCTTGCACAAAAAATGAAACTTCAAGTCGCACGGTGGTCACAGAACACTCACGGTGCGGAGATGTTGTCGAGCACCAAAAACAAGCGGTTGGCCTTGGGGTTGCGCCGCCAGTAGTCGCCGGCCCGCATGGACGAGTAGACCGCTTCGTCGATGACGGTTTCACGGTCGAAGTCTGTCACCACGAACTGCACATAAAAGAATGCACGGCGGTAGAGTAGCAGCCATGTCATCAGAAAAAATAATAAGAGGAGGTGGGGGTTTCGAAGGTATTGACTCCTTGTTGTTTAGTTCTGAGCATCAAACAAGCCACGGCAGTAAAACATAGCAGCCATCTCGATACGAAACATCTTGCCATCACGCCCATGATGGCACTGCTGTGCTCTCACGGGCCCACTCCAGAGGAATCCCACGCAGTCTAAATGTAATTGTAATTGCAATTGCAACTGTTTCACAACAAGGGCGAGGGCGCCAGCGACGATACTTCAGCACGACAAAACGTTCAGGGCAACATCTTCCTCTCTTGGAATAAGAAGCAAGAGAGCCGCCCCCCGTTTTGAATTGAAAATGAAAATGCCCTGGCAGCCACTGCTGTAGGCTACGCATGTACAATGTATAAGTGGTGTGTCCTCCCGAAATTTCTCCCCGCAGCGGGGTTTCGCGGTGTCATTAATTTTAGCCCCAACATCGATGAAACCCTTAGACCGAGCGCGTCCTGTCTTGGAAGTTAGCCGTCCTGACGGCCTTACATGTATAGTCATATCCTGGATACGTGTATTGTCCGGAGGAGTCAGTCGTCCGGAGGGCTTACTTGCACAGCAGTTTTTTACGCTGGAAATTTAATATACGTCAGTACGAAGTCGTCTGGACGGTCCTTACATGGGTTGTCTTGCGCTGGAAATCTGTTATATATAAGCACTGCTTACATAGTACATTAGTCATTCGTTCGGAACATTTGGGATGACAAGACTATGAGAGAGAGAGAGAGAGGGAGAGAGAGGGTAGCGACGAGCACCAGTACGGCACCTACATGTAATAGGGAAACATCGAGGTAACAATCTAGGACGTGACGAAAACTTAGGGTTAGGGTTAGCGTTGGGGTTAGGCGACCCAACTTTACCTCGGCGGAACCAACCGAATACTCTTATCTACACACTACTGTGTAACGAAGTACACGATACGACTTGTAGGGTGTAATTATGTGCCATCAATCGCCGCATCTGTCTTTGGTTGATTCTATATATACGTACCAAGGGTCCACCTACACACGGCCATGGGCACGATTGCAGCTGCTGTGTATCCAGGTGTACCGCCGTGGTTGAGTAAGATATCACACACACACACACCTAATGGGCCGATTGTCGAATTTCGACTACTCTGCAGCAAGCGTCTTGCCGAGAGCTTTCGCTTTCCGAAAATGAATCGTTGGAATTTTCTTCGGCGTGATCGAGCGTCAAACATCGGTCTACGGGGCGTGGTGTTTTGGGGCAACATCAGGATATCAATTTGCCGCGCCTTGTTGGTGCCAGAGAGGGTCAACTCCACCGAAACAACCGCCTACCTGCTGTCGTACTGTACCAATAGGGAGAAAAACATCGTGGCTCGTCAAAAGTACATGCGTTTTTCAAGGTACCCCCGATAAAACGCGCTGCTCTTCTGTGCCTCGGAATAATCCAGTGGGGATAGGACGGGGGTTCGACCCCTTGAAGGCCACATTTCGAATTCCCAGCAGGAATGTAGGTTGAACTGCTGGGTGGCTACTTGTACGTACCTCGTTCGACCCGCGTTCAAAAATTAAACCGACACATGATGCGGTGGCAGTGGGCAGCGGGTGGGAACACTGCTGTTGGTTTCTCGGTTTCCAATAAGTCGCGGAAACTGGGTGGCATTTCTAGCCGTGTTGTAAGGGGGCCGCCTCTTAGACTTATGGCGTCCAAGCTCCCGCCGCTGTCTTTCCACGCTTTATGCGACAAAGGAACCAACCTCCAACAGCACAGCAGGTGAGACTTTTCAAAAAATGCAGACTTGCTAAGAGGAGCCTTCTTGTGTGGGTGGAGATCGAGAAAAAGGCTCCAGAAAAAAAGGGGTGTCTTTGCAGCGCAGGCTCCTTTCGGACTCAACGACCACATATTCGACGCACTAGTAGGAGGGAAAGTAGGCAATCGCCAGGTGGGTCAGGGGAACCCCTCTCATCAGAGCCGGGGATGAAAAGTACAGAGGGCGCGTTCCGAACGGCAGCAGCACCGGCTGCGGCTGCTACTGCCGGATGCCGCAACGAGAACTCTTTTTGAAAATTGAGTCCCGGTGGGAGCCAGGCGCGCGTGTCCTCTTTTTCCCACTCAGAAGAAACGACCAACGCGATCCCGCCCTTGGCGTTAAAACACGCAGGCCTTCGAGCCCTGCAGCATGAAACGCTGTTGGAATCCCTGGATAGGCCTCATGGATACGTGCACACCTGTCCGCTGCTGCTGAACCTCTCTCTCTCTCTACTCACCGCTTCGGAGTCAACCTCCAACTTGCTTTTGACATGCTTTTCGAACAGGGAAAACGTCGCAAACGACGATAGCTGAAACTCAGCCTTTGAGCCCCTCCGCTGGAGGGTAATCCTCTCGCCCATGCTGCTTCTTGCCTCGCCACTGCAAGCTGTCTCTCTCTCCGAACCGCAAAGATCAACCCTGGTCTAGTACTCCACAGATGGTAGATGGTGGTAGATCTCATGAACCTCCCCTCCCCCCCCCCCAAAGTACAAATTATTGAAAATATGCATACGCTCTCACATGCCGACTTGTAAACATTCCACGACTCCCCCGAGAACATGTTTTCGGTCCCATGATGTTTTCACCGTCCGTTTTCAGACCTTGCAGCTTGGCTTGGCCAGAACTTTACATGTTTCCAAGATTCTGTTTGCGAGGCCCTTTGGACACGCAGGATCCAGGTTCTTCGCCTTGCCGCAACCATCTGCGACAGAGTTGGGATACAAGATGGGCGAGAAGATCAGCCTCCAGCGGCGAGCAGAGTTGGGACACAAGATGGGCGAGAAGATCAGCCTCCAGCGGCGGGGCTCAAAGGCTGAGATCCAGCTGTCGTCCTTTGCGACTTTTCCCATATTTTCGTATTTTTTTTTGCTTTTTCAGCTTGCACGCTTGGTTTTTCATTACATGTAGTGCAGTTGTTTTCAAATTTACCAGAGAAAATGGGACAAAGCGCTACTACTTTGGGCCAGGAAAAAAAAATAAAAAACGAAAAGAAAAATCAAATGCTCAAATGGAATATACAGATAGTTCTTTGCCGGGGCTCGAACCCGCGACCTACGAAATAGACGTCCAGTCAGAGATAGATGTAGTCTGTTCAATGAAATGTCCCTTATTTATGGGCCAGAGTGATACGCGATAGTCATGCACTGCACCTCGAAGAAATCGTGTATTTGCACCGCCATCTGTGCTACGCATTCCCCCAACACCAGTATCACCCCTGTTGTATTTCCTTCTTTCTTGTGTCATGCCGCAGAGAGGAGAAAGACACGACGAGCGGCGGATCGCTTGCGAAGATTTCAGGATCATAGAATGTGGCACGCGGGAGGCTGGCTGATCATGATGCGAACGCGTCGCCAAAAGTCCTTTACAAGGTCCAAGGGCTGGCCGGTCAGGTTGCGGAAGCTCGAACATTACAACGAGGCCAACATCATGAAGTATGCTATGAGGGACTATATTGGCGACCACGCCCCTCCCGAGATAGAGCTACTAGAGGCGGGAAGGTCCAAAATGAAATATGTTAGGGCGGTGATGGCGGTGGTTGAGATTAACGAGGAAGGGTTGTTCCGGCACATCATTACGTACCTATAACTCGGGGGAGGTACTACTGCCGTAGAAATCGTGTACTTCGAAGTATGTTATATCGCCTAGGAACACGGAGGGTAGACCAACGGCTGGCGGTAGATAGGATGGGCGAGCATAGCCAGGCATGTCCTGGCAAGATGCGAGGAGAGCTACGGCAACGTGGATGTTGGCAACTCGACCAGTATCGTCGGCGTGGTCTGTCTGACGCTTTCCGTTGCTCAGTGCGCAGCACTATTTAACAACTCGAGAATGCAGGCAGCGACAATCTCAATCTACAGAGACACAGTTTGATGCTAACTAAGAAGGGGCATCCTTCCTCCAGGCGTCCATTGCATCATAAAAAACCAAGCACAAGCCTTGCTGCTGACAAAATACCACATCACAGAAACAAATGAACGCGACCGATACGCAAAGTCGGCGAGAAGCAGAGGTTGCCACGTGGTTATCGAGACTCTTTCTAGTTCTCGTTTGTTTCGTGGACGTGCGGTAACGCCCCTGATGTGGGCGGTATTCGTGCTTTTTCGCTGCGCTGCGTGCGACGCGAGGTGAAACGCTCGGCGTGCTGGCGAGGGATGGGGTGTGCGCAGGCAGGGCCACGAACCTCGTCATCGTGGCGTTGTTGAGCTCAGAGAATTGTCAGTTGCGGCGAATAAGAGCACAAAACGCAGACACTAAAATACGTTGAAGGGATGCTGATGATGGCAGAAGCAAGATAAAAAATGCTTGCGTTTGGCAGCGGTGTCGCTTCGATTGCAATTCCTTGGACAAGGCCGTCGACGCGGGGGTCACGAAAAGGCACCGCCGCAATTTCGCGGGCATAGCTTTCGCGAGCTGAGAGAAATCGGCCGCGGTCAAAATATCGCGGTCCAAAAACCGCTTTCAAAAAACCCGCGCCAAAGTTTTAGGTTCTTTAGTTTCCGCAGCAGAAACCAATCCTATTCGAATTGGAATTGGAAAACACGGGCTAGGAGTGATTCGAACCCCCGGCGGTACGCGGCACAATTCGCATACACGTTGTTACACCAGAAACATCACGACTAGACTACGAGGTATTCTAACCGTCCTAAATGAGTTAAAAAGACCCGGCCGATTCCCGGCTTGTTTGCACTTTTTTTACACACTCAACACACACACCACGAGCAGATACAGAGAGAGCGGGAGACGGAGAGAGCGACAAGGAAGAGAGAGAGAGTAGTTTAAGGCGAGACCGCCTTTGCTTGCGCAATAACCGCCCTTCTGCTATTCTTGTCCGTTGAACGCGTCCCGGTGGGCTCGGGTTGTGGCACACACACGTCTATTGTCAGTTTGTTGCGCCGTCTCTCTCTCTGCCTCCACGCAAGCGAACTTGGAGCCAAATTCAATTCATCTCATGCAAAGTCAACCGGCAAGTTCGATGATCTGGCTCACGAGATCGAACTTTTGACACACATCCAATCCCTGTTCCGGCCCTCGGGCCTCACTCCCGTAGTCCGCTGGGCAGGCGGTGCGTGCTCTCAGCAACACATGTACCCCGTTGTGGGAATGGAAAATATCTTGGCGGAACCGCTACAATGAACGATTTTCGCTGTTAAACTTGACTCGGAGAACAATTCATCTGAGCTGGGTAACCTCCCCCCGGGAAACGGGGTGACCGAATCATACCTCTCCTTTGGCACGGCCCTGAGGAGACACAGTCTCCGGGGGCGACGCCAGGAAGAATGATGCCATCTTCGGATGAGCAACACCACCCCATACAAAAAAAAAGTTGCTAAAACGTTATATAACGAGCGCGTCGAGGGTGGTTATCGTGAGCCAAACCTCCCCAGTTCGCCACGTGACGGATGCGTGTCGCCACGCAAGAGCGCCCAAGCGGCCGGCCGTTGCGATCAGTACACTCCTACGGAGGAGTCGACGTGGCTGGCGTAGGCGTGCAGACCGCCCTCCACGTTCCAGACCCTCTTGAAGCCGGCTTTTGTCGCCAGGTGTTGGGCCATCTGGTTCGACCTGCATTGTTATACGACGTAAAGTACATATCGTTGTCGTCGTCGTTGTTGTTGTTGTTGCTGCTGCTGCTGCCGCTGCTGTTGCGCATGTCGTCTTCGCATAACAATCGTGCCGGTCTTCTGCTCAGTACCTTCTACCGTACCAATCGCACCGGTCCAACCCACGCGGACGTTTCCTGTGGTCCCAAACACAAACTACCAAAAAGGGGCTACCACCTACTACAAAACACCAACGACGACCTAACCCCTCTGCGGCATACGTACGAAAAATACATGCTTTCGTGAGACAAGAAACGCAGACCAAGTAAGCCAAGCAAGCGCTTGTGGTTGGTCGATGCCCCGCGCAAGCATCAAGCGACACCCCCCCCCACCTCATGCCGTGGTGGCACATGATGACGGTATCCTTCTCGGCGTCGAGGATCGCGCCTTCCCCCGAGAGCTTGTCGCTCCACTCCTCGAACTTCGACAGCGGGAGGTTCACAAACCCTGCAGAGCATTCATTCCCGTAAAGACGACAACACAGCGGAACCCCCGTCAGGCCTGCGTAGCTCACGACCCCACGTCAACGCGACCGAGCGTGTAAATTTGGTCGCTATAGGCGTGAAATCACAACATCGCTGCAATTTGAACCACGTCGAGTCTGAGCGCGTAAGTGCGGCCGTCGACCTTTGCCAAGAACAAATACCGGAGTTACCTGCGGCACTCACCACGCTGTGCAACCCTGTTCGAACAGACAAGAAACAATTCGCCCGCAATAGCAAGAAGCGTACTGTACAGCAACTTTTTCGCGACAACAAAAGTGCATGGTCGGATACATTCGTCTATCGGCGCTTTTTCGTCGCGCTTCGGGTAGACTGCTGTTTATACTGAAACTGTTGAGGCACCGTGTAATCAGCTCTGTGGAAATGGGCCCGTCACCGGAAACCCGCGTAATTCTCTTCATGTGGATTTACGAAAGCATGATCGAGGACACAGGCTACGGTACCCTCGTTAGAAGGAGGTCCAGGACGTAGCATGAGTAGTACTCACCAACTACTGGGGGTTGGCAGCTCCCACTTTTATGAGGTTTTGGTTTGGGAGAAGGTCTTAGAGGAGATCGAGAGAGAGGGGGGGTAGTCCAATAACTTCCCCCTCCTCACTCGAGCATGTGGCTTTGACAGAGTTGGCTACGCGCCTCATGAACATGGTCGCAAGGCTAGGCAGCGTGGGGAGCGGCATCGGCTCATGCCGCTCGGAACGCCCGGATGTACATGAAACCGCTCACGCAGACGTACTTCAAACGTTTACCTAAATCCTTCGCTGAAAATAATCGCAATGAACTTGGGCAACAGAAATTCAACAAAATAGTTGTAATCGGTCCCGTGCTTACCATCGAGCTTGGCCTTGCCCAATTCTTCCTCTTCCCGTACATCCACGAACTGGTACTTGCTATCCACGTCTCCGGCCCCGCTCTTCGCAAGCTCCAAAATCTCCCCGAGCTCCTCTACAGCCATCTGTCGCGGCAGGATAGCCCTCGAGAGCAAGGCCACCTGACGGCCCAAGACGAGGGAAAAGGGGACCCGAGAATCTCGGCAGATCAGCTGCGGCCCAAGGAATGATACCAGTGAGTGCGGCCACCTTTTGCACGCCCAAATGGCACATGGCAACACCGTACGAGCCACCGTTTGAGAATGTGGGAGTTAAGGTGTGCAGTCTCCTCAAAAAGACATGTGTTCAAGAGGCTGGCCACAAGGAAAGATGCTCAATTAAGACTCCCACATTAAATCCTACATGGTCGCTGTTGGGGTAACCCCTAAGATGAAAGAAGCCAGCCTCGTGCAAACGAAGAGGTTCTTTGAGTGGTGGATATCTAGCAACAACGAAGACGAAGATGACGACGAAGACAAAGACGACAACTGACGAGCCCCGCGCGCTTCCTCACCACATTCTTTGAGTGGTGGCTCTGTAACAACAACAACAGCAACAACAACGACAACGACAACGACGACGACGATGCGATGACGACGAATACTACTACAACCGACGAGCCCCTCGCTCACTCCCTCACCACATGCCACCCGAACTGGGTCTGAACCTTGACGATCGTCCCCGGGTCGTTCTCGAAACACGCCGCCTCGAACTCCGCCACCATCTGCCCCTTCTTGAACCACCCCAGGTCCCCGCCTTTGTCCTTCGAGGGACAGGAGCTCATGTCCGTGGCCACGTCTCCGAACTGCTCGCCGGACTTGATCCGCGTCAAGGCGGCCTCGGCGGCATCCTCGTCGGCGCACAGCACGTGCGCCGCCCTAGGTCGACGGGTTGTGGAGTAGGTAAGCCGAGGCCGACGGTCCGGTGTAGGTTGGACGGACAGAGTATTGGGGCCGCGTGATGACGTCACCGGAGGGAGGTTGGGAGGAAAACTGTGGGGTGAGCTGTGCTATTATCGAGTGAGTCGCGGAATCTCAATGAGATGACCGAAAGTTGGACAGAAGAAAGAACCACCAACAACAACATTCACAACAGTCGTGGAAAGGAAAGCGCGAGAGCACATTTTCATAGGGTTGCACGCGCCGGCTGTAGCTTACCTACTGTACATGACGGGCGACATTGGAGACTCTAATACTGCTGTATGCCTACCGTGTGACTTTTCCCACCTGCAGATCTCTTCCCCAGTGACGGCGTCGGTGGCGGAGGACATCATCAGGGGGCGGCCTGTACACGGTCGTGGCTGCTGCGGCAACCCAAGGCTCGTTCCCGCTGCTGGCACGGCGTGAATCCATCGTCTGTTGCTGCCGGCGAGGCTGTGGTTTTTCCATGGCGGAGTGTGCGGGAGATGAAGGACAGGGTTCCTTTGTGGCATGGTTGTTGCTGGTGCACAGCAGTGGTGGGAGCGCACCGCCTTCTTCGTGTTCTACAACGAAGGGAGGGAAGCACGTCACCACCCTTTTTGGGGGCCGAGAGCTCGAACCACATTGTTAACAAGAGTGGTGGACGCTGGACGCTGCGGAAAGGGTAACTGGCCTGGCGCTCTTGTGCAAACCGCTCTTTGAACGTCGGCCCAGAGAGGGTGGGTGTACTACATTCTTATACGATAATACGTTTAATGTTCCACGTATCAGAACAGATCCATCAAGCAAACGGCATAATACAGCCAAAGGCGTCAGCAGGGCAAGACAGCTACATGAGAGTTACAGCAGTCCCAACGATGACTTGCCCATGCGTATGCATACAACAGCAGTAGTCCGCCGGGCGGGAGAATATGCCTGCAGCAGGTCATGGTTTGAATAACGCGCCTGGGAACTGGGCCCAATCGTTTCGTGGGCTTCCCCTGAGTGTGGAGAGGGCGATGTTACATAAGCAGGTGTAGCCCTAAGGGTTGGGTGTGTTATCCTAGGCCTACAGCAGGACACCGGCGACAACGACACAGCCGTTGAACATGTCATGTTCTCATGTTGAACGACGGCGGCACGTGTTCCGTCAGACCTCTCGGTGCGTCGCCTGTGGGGAAACAGACAGCAGGCAGCCCCTCATTCCAACTTACAACTTCCAATGAACACTGCAACGTTGTACAACACTACCGACGCTGCACCCGCATCTAGCCTACACATGTACACACCGCAGGACTGCTGTTTTGAGCATACCTGTTGCAGGACTGAGCGCGCATCGGCAATGCGGTGCTGCCCGCCAGCACACCGCCGCGAGGAGCCGCGACGAACGCGCTAGCGAAGCGCCTTCCGACGATCAAGGCCACGGCGGCCTGTTGGCGAGAGAGTGAGCAGCTGAAGCGCATGTTTACTGCCGTGGTGGGTGAAGTTTGTCGGGGGTGTGCGGCGGGGGTGCACCAGGCAGGCAGCAACGAGGCGGGGCAACCGAGAGGTTCCGATCAGTTGGGAGGTACGCCTTTTCAATTGGCGTCACCCCCGGAGAGGTCGTGTTCGTGCATCACGTCACCTCACCTGCCTGGTACTGGTACATAAAAGCAGAGGGTGTCCCGGAGGATGGCTCCCACCTCCGCAGGAAGCGTTGGGGATGAAGCCAGCCGCGATGCCGACGAGATCGGACAGTGGGAGGACTATACTTGCCAGGGGCAGTTCGAAGACCTTGTCAGGTCCTTCGAGACGGTGCTGCGAGAGTGGAGAATTTCCGACAGAGGTGTGTTCACGCGTGCGGGGAATCTACTGCTGTGCTACTCTACCTACTGCAGCTGCTGTCGCGGTCGACCAGCAGGCAGGCGGTCGACCAGCAGGCACAGTCAACACCACCGCCGCTTTCCGCTAGCCGTAGACGACCACCGCCATGGAAAGGTCAGGGCTGTGATCATCTCTTGCGACGGTGGACTCAGTTTTCCGCTTGGTGCCAAAGTTCAACAATGAACGGGTTCGAGTGTCGCACCTCCTCTCTCTCGACGGCAGTGTCGTGACCACCTCCGTATGCGAACTGCTGTTGAACTTTGTAGTCTATGCACACGAGTCACCGAAAGCACGTTACCGCCGACCTCGCCATTGCCTTGGCCACCTGGGGTACGATCTCCGCGTCGCATTTGCCCTGTTTTCTTCTAGCTCGGCAGTTGTGTCCACCCTGTTGTATGACAATGGCAGTTGTTCCACAGGGGGATTTCCTCGCAGATATTGTAGATGTCGGCTGTGTACATGCCGTGTCCCGCTCTCTTTGGAGCTTCAACTTCATGGTCGTCATCAAGGGCTTCAGTAGAAGTAGTACCCCGGCCGTTTCCCTCTTTTACATATTGTGCGTGAGCCAAGTATTGAAAATGCTCCTCCTATGCATAGCACTGAACAGAAACCAGTAGAGAACGCAAGCTGTCCTACTCCTTAAAAAATATGTGAGTGACACAAATTACCGAGACCGTCAGTCCCAAAAGTGTCCCAAACTTGACATATTGAGTGTTCAGTGAACTGCAGCTAGGTCCTTCCCGCAGCAAAAGGAACAAACGCATGTCTGCTGCCGTCGTCTACTACTGTCGGGGGCTGATTATCCGACGACTTGGCGGCGGGACAACACCGCCCCCGTTCTTTGTCCCTCGCGTGTTCCGGAATGTGACCCGTGCCGAGAAGACCACGCACTGCTGTCAAACGAAGCTGTTGCTGTTGAGGGCATCGCGTCGTCGTTGACGGAGTCCTCCGGGTCGTCGACATCGCCCCCGGCGGTCTCCTACTCGCGGTGCCTGGAGCACGATGGCCAGCTCTTCAGCATCCAGCTGGTGCCCCCCCCCGATCAGCTCACTGTTGCCGCTGAGGCTCGGCCGACAACAGCAACAGCAACAGCAGCAACACCTCCAACAACAACGGCAGCCACGGCAGAAACGCCTACAACAACAACAGCGACGCCGAATCGAACGGCGTCCGCGGCCTGTCAGCTAGAGGACCGCCGCCTAGACTTCGCGGTGGGAGGGGGGGAGACCACCAACACGCCCCTGCACCGCTGGTTCGGGCTCAAGCAGTACGTCCTGGTTCGCGCCTTGGGCCAGGGCGGGTCTCCCGGCATGGGAGTCGATCACCTCCTTTGGGCCACGACGGTGGCTGCCGGAAACTGCAGGTGCTCCGTCCCGGTGCTGGTGTCTTGCGACTGGGACGGCCTGGTTGAGGACGATAGCTCTGGCGGCGTTGTTGTGCAAAGCGGTGCCAGCTGTAAAGGATACTCCACGCCTGGCAGCAAGGGCGTTGCGTGCTCTGTCAGGTTTCAGACAGCGTGGACGGAGAAGGTACGGGGTTTGCTTATTGGCGCGCGGGGGGGGGGGGGAGTGAGGGCTTGTGAGTGCGGACGTTGATTTGATAAGCGCTGCTTTGGGAACGTGCCGGAGGAGTCTGGCCCAACCGTCGGCTCTGCAACTCGGCCATGTCCGACACAAAAAAAACAAATTGATCGTCGCCACTTCTTTTTGTGTGCGCCTACAACCCAACTAAGTTTCTACAACCACTAGAGTTTCTAGTACGCGTGACAACGCTACAAGCCACAAACGACAATAATATCCGTTAAAGCGGCACGTTCGAGGTTTTCTCGGCTATGCAGCATACGATCATGCGTTTGCACTATCCCTTCTACCCGACCACATCTTGAACCCTGCCTACCCCACATGGTTGATAGGCCCCGACCCTCTCACGTCCCCCCTCCCGCCCCTCCACCCTGACCAATCCCTGCCGTTGTTCTTATCTTCGATTCCGCGGCAGCCTTCCCGCGAGTGCCTATTCCTAGACGGACTCACGGACCTGTTCCTGTCCAAGATCCGGGACGCGCACTGCCTGCCAGGCCGTGCCTTTGCCCCTATAGTCTCGACCACCGTCCAGCAGTCGTGGGAGTGGACCAAGCCCGAGGAAGAAGCGGCGCAGTTGCCTGCCCCCGCTCTCCCCTGGGAGGGGGGAGGGGACACCGGCGGAGGCGGCGGAGGGGAAAGCGTGGCGGCGATGGCGGTGGTGGAAGAGAGGGACGGGCGACGGGGGGGCACAAGTTTGGGCGAGCCTACGGTGGGGGGAGATCCGCAGGGACCGACGACACCGGCAGCAGCGGCGGCAGCAGCGGGGGATAGAGGCGGTGTTGGGAGTAGGGAAGATGCCGTCAGGCAGCTCCTTCGTGCGATCGGAGGCGGAAGGGAACAGGAAATCGGGACACCCGTGTGGGGACCGGACGAGGTACTGTGCTGTGCGAGGACGTTCGAAGAGCACTCTGTTGTTTGTCCGGAACATCTGCAGAAGCAGCGTTACCGTCATCGAACTGGGACGACTTTGCCGCATCTTCATTTGATGTCGCACGCGTTGCCACCGCCGCCGCCGCCCCCGCTCCCGTCCTGTGCTCGCTGACACCCGTTCTTGTTCTACGCAGGACCCGCTCGTATCAATCTTCGTGCGAGTGAGATGGACAGATCTGAGGGAGGGCCTAGTAGAAGAGAGCCAGCACTACACCACGCTGGAGCCTTTGCCGGAGGAGGCACGAGCAGGGGCGGGAGGAGCCGATGGCGGTTACAGCGGCGCCGGCGTGGGGGGGCATTGGTTCGTTAGCCCAAGGTGAGGCGTTTTTCGGCTGATTCACCCCCCTTTGAAATCGTGCTTTACCGACTAGATACGGGGCAAGATAGCCAGACCTAAAAAATGATTTGGTTTCAAATGTTTTTCGCGTGTGTCGATGTCAGGCGGTAGATGCTGTCGTTGCGAAGCTTCCACAGCTACACAGAGCGGGGTTTAGGCAAGGTGTAGCCGCTGGACCAATTTTGTGAGCGTGCTCGATGGATACACACCGAAATGCTTTTTGTCTGGTTGAACGTTGACGCGCTTTGTGAGCGCCGCGCCATACTTGTTGTGGTGTTGAGAGGGCGGGTGTCACACGCGAGAGAGTATGCTATGTTTCTTCTTGTGGGGGAGACGGCATGGGCACGAACTCGTTCCAGATGCGCTTTGCGCTGTCGTCATACACTGCTTCAACGTGTGCGTGCGTTTTCGTCCCCCTTGGTCTGGGCGCCAGTCTGCACTACACCTTTCGGTGCGTGTTTGACGCACTGGCCGGGGTCACACAGGAGGAGTGTAAATATTGGATTTTTCAAGTGTGTATTTGTTTCAGCGCTGCGCAGAAAAGGGTTTCGTTCGCAAAACTCTGGTACTTCTTGGGTTCGCCTGTATACGGCGCCTCCATTTATTTTGTTCTCGTTTTCTGATCGCCGGCGGGCAGGTGGAAGCAACAAGGTCAACCAACAACAGACGCTAGCAGCAGCAGTGACAACGACGGTGACCGCGGCTCCACGCAACGGCAGCAGCAGCAGCAGCAACAACAACACAGGGGCCGTCTTGGGGACGCCTGCAGCCGCTTGCTGGCGGCCTTGGTGCTAACGACCGCCATGCACCCGGGCACACTGATGGCCGATCTTGGGGCCGGTTCACTCGAAGACGGCCGGACGGTAAGACATTTCGCATCCCACTGTATGATATCGGTGCGTGCAAGATATGATTCCGATTGTATGAGCGGCAAGGCATCTCGGCATTTCCCTGCAGATTGGTGGGCGCGCTAGGTACGATTCGCGGTTGTGTAAACGGCTGACTGACTCTCACGAGCCTGTAGTTGTCGGCGGGTGCTGAGCATGATTCCCCGTTGTATGGACAGCGCCAACTATCTCTCCGCAAGAGAGGTCGCTGAAGGATCAAAATGTGTTGTATTCTTGGGTGTTCCGAGTGCTTTCAGGAGCCCTCCCTCTCTCTCCCATTCGTGCGACAGCACCCCGGGTATTCTTCTCTAGAGATTACAGTATCTGCAGAGATGGGGAAATTCTGCCCTGACCTGGTGAGCTGAAATATAATTTTTTCATGGCAGTCCCAACCCTTTATCCCTCCGATGCTCTGTACGCGGTACCTGTCAACTCCGACCGTAATTTCGGTGACCCGAAGGACTTGTCTTCATGGTAAGTCTTAGTTAACGGTGTCAAGGTTCCCCGCCCCTGGTCGCAAGGGTCGCCCGATGCCGTTAGACATTTTCTGAACACTACATAACACCGTCCTCAAGCAGGCCTTGGCACAAGACTACGGGAAGGCGGCTTCCGCCAAGCTCAGCGACGAGACAAGGAAGGCGGTGGAGGTGGGTATGGCTACCGGGCGGGAGTCACGGACCCCCCGCTTTTGTTGCTGTTGGTGGTGGTGGCTGTTGTAGAGGTTAGTCTTTCAAGTTGTTTTCCTCCTGTTCTACATGACCGTGATCGCAAAAATGCGGCCTATCCTCCATGCTAAACGTCACCACAAACACCCACCTCGGCTTACAGCAGCAACACTCGTTCCAACGATTTGTTTACACTCCCACCGTCAGCAACGTTGAACGTGGGTTAGCAACAGATTTGGTTAGAGAATGAGTTGTTCAGTCTTGTTCCGCATGCCCCGCTTGTGGCGCGTCTTACTATAGCGCGGCTGTTTCCCCCACCGGACGTTTCTTGCGCGTCTCGTTGCTCAGGAGATGTGCCGCCGATCGCAATCGCCATCCATCAACCACGACGACATCGACCTGATTCTTCGCTACTTGCTGCACTCGCAAGGAGAGGAGAGGGCGGTCGTGCCTGCCGCAAACCAGGGCAGCGGCGGCGGTGAGTCGAGGGAGGGTTACTATACTGTTCATTTCGGATTTTTTTTTTCCACCCTTTCCGTCGCAATGTTTTCTTGCCAAAGACACACGCGCCACCCGGGATTCGTGCTTTGGTTGAAACATGTTGCAATTCGTGTTCACCGTGGCTAGCATAAGATACCACACACCCTGTATCGACTTTCGCAGCTCGAGCAGAGTACTCCACGAAGAGCTCGCCAATATCAAATCATCATACATTTTTGGAAAGCTTTTAACGGGACGGTTCCATCACCACCATTTTCGGCGGCGCCGGTACGGTTTTCTGCTACAGAGTAGTCAACGTTTGAGAATTGGTCCAGGTGGCGTGGTAGCTTATGCGACCTACGGGAAGCCACGACGTCTTGTTTCTGCAACCCCGCGCCGTGTCTGAGCTTTCTCCTGCATCTCTGGAGAGTTGCTTCTCACGCATGGCGATGGGTCCCCCCGCAGCTTCTGGAATCCGTTAGCTTCAGCCCAGGTGCTGTCTCTGTGTCCCAATCCTACGGTAGGCCGGTAGGCCACGGTCTCTTGTTTCTGCAACCCTGCTCGTGTCTACGCTTTCTCCTGCTTCTCTGCGGAGCTGTTGTTCACGCATGGAGGTAAGTTCCCCCGCATTTTCTGCAATCCGTTAGCTTTAACCCACTTTCTTTGTGTCCCAATCCTCCTCACTCACACTCGGCTTTGACAGCAGGCCCCGATGCTGACGGAGACAACAAAGCACGTCGGGTGCAGCCGCCGCTACCATCGTCGCGATGGAGACAGGTGCACCTGGGGGCACGGCAACAGGACCCGAGACAATCGACAGAGAAGTGGAAGCAGGTCTACCCGAGGGCGAGGGGGGTCACCGACGATTCGTCAAAACGACGGTTACAACCTGGAGGCGGCGCAGCCGAACCGGCTTCTGTCCCGAATGACCCGTCCCATGGGGATGTTAATCGAACGATGGAAGCGTCGTGGGCGGAGCTGTCGGCAAGTGGAAGCGGCCGCGCGTCGTCATACGAGACGATGACGGGCGGGAGAGGAGGGAGGAGGAGCCTGTGGGCGTGGGCGGAACGCGGCGGGGCGCCGATAGGGCGCCTACTGTCGCTGCTTTCGCTCAGGGTCGCCAGCTGTGGTAAGCGTGAGCCTCTCGTCGCTTTCCTGGAGAGTGTATTTCCTAGGTCGAGCCCAGCCGTGTGTTTTCCAGCTTGACGCGTATCGTGCTGCAGTGGCAAACATGACAGCACCTTGGAAGTTGAGGGTCATGTATCGTGTTCTGTTTTTTCCCTGTCGAAGGAGCCCCCCGTCACTTCACGCTTTACGGCGAGGTGTGTGTGTGTTCGTCCCATCTATTCGTCAGTTGACACCTTACGGCGAGGTGTGTGTGATTGTGTGCTTCCCATCTATTCTGGCGTCAGTCGACACACCTTCCGGTGAGTACGTTTGGCGCATCAGCTGGAGTCGCAAAGAAGTTGTTCGCTTTCTTTTTGTTTTTTACGCCCAACCTTTCACGGTGCAACTCTTTTTTTTTTGCTTTCGGTTGCTGCTTGTGCTTTTCGTTTTTCGGCCGCCTTGTCGCAGACGATCTTGGGTCGATGTCGCTGCTCTGGATGTCGTTCGTGCGGGACGTGCGACTCTTGTGGGAAGACGGGGCCACCATCGCGAGAATGGTGAGAGCGGCAAGACAGATGTCCTTTCCAAAGTTTTCAATTTTTTGGGATCGGTCGTCCGACGATGCATAGCAGGGGAAACAAATTGCTCCGAGTGCATCATACGCCGTTGGGTGCCCCGGGCAACGGTTTTGTGTGCTTCCAGGGCGTGTGTCTAATGTACATGCGAGTACAATTCCCCCCACACAACATGGTTAAATGCTTTTGGTAGAGGAAGAACCCGTTCCAGTGACAGTGACAACGTTGTCTGTTGCCCCCATCGGCGCCATATGTTGGATACAATCCGTTTCGCTGCAATGCCGAGTCCAAACGAATTTAGGGTTTTCCTCTCTCGGCCCATTCGTACGACAACCCAATGCCCGCCATGGCCCTAGTTTGTGAACATCGCTCTCGGGAACTGTTTTGCTGACCAAGGTTTTCGCCCATCGATTTTCTTCTGGACTTCCTGCGAGATTGTCCCGCCCCCTATTTTTTTTGCGCGTGGAAAGCAGGGTAACCCTCCACATCCTCGTGCGGGAGCCCCTCTATACATATCCTCGTAAAACCAACCAACCCCTCCTAGAGACCAACCAACCCCTCCTAGAGACGATACAATGGATCATCCATGCCTGTCTAAATTGTAGTTCTACTGCCGCTGAAAGTGCATGTATTTATTTAGTCCAGCCACCGGCCCTTCCTCCTACGAAAATCAGAGCCCGATAGCCGCGGTGGACGGCACGAGCATGTTCGACCGGGGCGCCAGCTGTACGGGGCAGGACCGGAGCGTCGCGTCTCAGCTTCGAGGCAGCAGTCAAGCGGACGGCGGCAGCGTCGACGTCAGCGATGATGGTAGCGGCGGCGACGGTTCACTGCCGCCGTGGAGCGATCGCTCGCTCGTTCCGTACCCGGATACCCGAACGTGCCTGATCTGGCAGAAGCTGCAGATGTTGAACTGCTGTCGAGCGGAGGGGGGGGCGCAGATGGGTCTGCAGCTATCATCACCACCACCCTCGCAAGGTGGGTTGTTCAGCGGGCATATATCCTTTTGGCCGAGGAGGATGCCTGTCTATGTGCCGAAACAGCGGTGGTGCCATGCAGGACAAGGTCTCGACGCTGCAGATGACTTGCCGCGGTTGTAGAGGGGGCTTGCAGCGGTTGTGTTGTAGACGGGCCGGAGCGCCTTTGATCGGAGCGATACAGCAGGTGATGAGACCGTAGCCAGTCAGCAGAGCTGTGTTGTCGGAGGGTGGGGAGCGTTTGCGAAAAATCGTGACTGATGATGCTACTTTCTCCACGCATACCGAATCAATTCTTCCCCAACGATCTATATCTCTCAACCGATATTTTTATCGAACGGACGATATGATTATTCCTCTCGAGATGTCCTCGTTGCTGAGGCCCGCAGTACGTACACCCCACAAGGCGTCCCTCCTGCCGTGCATTGTCTGTTCAGATGTCGGTGATGGTACAGCCGACCAAGGCGAGGGGGAGAAGGGGCCAGGGGACGACGAAGACGAAGAAGCCTTCTTCGACACCCGCGAGTACTATCAGACGTCGGAGGACGAGGGAAGTAGCGGTGGCACAGGTGGTGGTCTCCAAGATGACCGGTGTAGCGCTGGTGATGTTGACCGCGGCGGAGAGCGCAGTGCCGAGGATGATGATGTTCTAGCTTCCGCAGACAGAGGTACTGGCGAGGTTGGTACAGGCGGCGGTGTCCGAGATGAGCATGGTGGAGACCGTGATGCTGACGACAGTGCGGGGGGTGTTCGCGCGGAGCCCGGTGCTGGTGAGGATTATGAGGGTGTTATTTCTGCTGCTACAAGTGGTGACAGCAATTCCGCCGCCGAGAGCGACGCGGTCGGAGATCGTGCTGGCGACCTGAGCGGGTGCAACGAGGGGTTGCCTAAGGATGCCTCCGAGAACCGCCCTCAGCAACAACAACGGGGCGAGGGCTCATCCGCCCAGGTACTTGACGACGAAACTGCCGAGATCACACCAGCGTCTACTGCTGCTGCTACTGCTGTGGACTTGTCGAAACTCGGGGCGGGGCGGGAAGAGCTCGGTGTAACAGGGCGTGCTGTCACGGTCGTGGAAGGCGGCGATGACCGCCGCAGCAGCAGCAGTACAGGTGGAATCGATGGCGAAGAAACTGTTTCTCCAGGCGACACCACAACAGAAACAGCAGCGTCGCCAATCGCACCACCGTTGTCAGCAGGAACAGAGGAGGTTGCAGTGGTACCTTCATTGGCATCACGATTAGGAGAAGGGGAACCGGCATCACCTACATCGTCATCACCGGTACCATCGCTGGGCGACGATGCCAACGAAGCTTTGCCGTGCGCCGTGGCGACCGAAACGACCATGATAGGACCAGAGGAGGAGGACGTCGCTACGATCGTTGCAGCAACGTCTGACGAGGCGATGTCTGTAGATGAGGGAGGAGATAACCCAACGACTCAAAATATGCCAGAGGCAGAACGGGAGGAGGGGGAGAAAGAAGTCGGGGGGAAGGACGAGGAGGAGCTGCAACAGGGAGCAGACTCGCCGTCCAAAGAGGAGGAGCAGCTGCAGCAGAGGATAGACTCGCCGTCTGAAGAGGAGCCGTCGAGTCCTCCTTCCTCTCCCCCGCCGATGGAGACGGGCGCGCGTACGGATGAGGTTCCGCGCAATGGTAGCGCTGACGATGGCAGCGACGGTCTCGCTTGCAAGGACACACCGCCGCCGTCGTCCTCCCCTGCAAACCCGGAAGAAGAAACGCCTGACACGACAAAATCTTCCTTGGCCGCTGCTGGTGAAGTGATCTCCGACGATAGGTCAACTTGTCCTTCTCCAAAGGCTTCAACTATGGCTGCGGGAGAGGCGATCTCGGAGATCTCAACCTGTACTTCTCCGAAGGAATCATCGATGGCTGCGGAACAATTGACCTCGGACAATTCAACCTGCACTTCTCCAAAGGCTTCATCGGCGGCTGCGGGAGAAGTAACAATCTCGGAGGCCTTGCCGGAGAAGCGAACGGCCATCATCGCGATGGAAAACAGCCCCGACGCATCGGACAAGGCGTTCGGTTGCCCAGAGGCCGCGCCCACTGCTGCTACGGGGAGCGCTGCTGCAGTCGGTGAGGAACCGCTCGTGCCGCCGATGCGCCGCCTGTTGTGTTCGGGGGCGGCGGTCCGCCCCCCACGGCTGCAGGAGTGCGGTCCCGTAACCGAGGACATGCTCAGGCAGCAGACGCTGGGACAGGCCGCCGCTTACCGCGGCCGGGAGGTTCTCCTGGCGGACATGACGGCGTTTAGATCGGAGAACGGTGGCGGCGACGGCGATGCCGCGGTGTTTGCAGACTTTGTGCGGTGGTATCGTCCCGAATGTTGGCAGGTGAGCTCGCAGCCATGGCGTCGGGAGATACAGTTGGCCGAAACCTTGGAGATGGGGAGCACTATGACCTAAACGACATAGTCACACACACGGCTGAGCGAATCCCGGGTGTGCCGACCCAACAACGAGAGAGGGAAAGGATGTGAGGTCGTCTCCTGGCTGGCCTTGTCGTTGGTAATTTTGGTCATCGGCGTCTCTGCACGTCTCAGGGGAGGAGGAGGGGGAGGAGGGGGAATGACAAGGGTAAATAGGGTTCACACGTCACAAGCATCCATATGCAACCATTTGGTCTCGACGTTAGACCCCGTGCTCATACTCGCACGGCACACCCCCCTACGTGATGCGGCTTGCCCTGATTTTACACCACCGTTCCACTGCCCTGATATTCTAATTACTGTCCGCACTGGCTGCGCCTTGCCCCAGGAAGCAACTGCTGATGGGGAGTGGGTCAGTGCGTCGGAGGGGCGATTGGGCGGGAGGGCCGAAGACGACAAGCGGTTGGCATGGCCGGGACAAGGCCAGGTGAAACGGGCACCGGAGGGGGGGGGGGCGTACTCTTATGTTGTGCATGCCTTAGCGGTTAGACCATTGACCACGCGTCCTCGAGAGGACGGAGCATTGTTCCCACAGGACCGATCACCGATGGCCAATCGTTCCTTCCTACTTTGCCAAAGGTGGCTCAAAAATATCTTCCCTAGTGTGTCTATCCTAACGATATCCCTTCCCGCCTTTTCAAACCACTTCCTACTCCCCAGTACAGCTACCGTCCTCTCCTCTCTATTCCATGCCTCAAACATCTCCCTGTACGCCCCTTGTATTTTTCCCAGCTCAGTCATGTACACTTCCCTCTCCTCTTCGTACCACGGACATTCCGCGACTACATGAACGCGGTCTTCGCATTCGAAGCCGCAATCACATTTGAACTTGTCGTCTTCGTCGTCTACCGTCCTATGTCTTTGTCGACGTTCTCGAAGGCCTATGTTCCCGGTCCTGAATTTGACCTTAAGCTTTGTCCCTGCATCCATTGGTCCATGTAGGTAGTCCTTGAACCCTATTCCTTCTTTCAACATTCCGTACACTTCTAGACCCTCCTTATCCTCGGTTTCTTTCCTTAAATTTTGTTCTTCTCTCTCGGCACAAGCAACAGATATCTTCTCCTTGAACCCCTGTAGACCCTCCGTTTCCAGCGTTTCATCTTCGTCGATGTCTAACCCCTTCCATACGTCCTCTACAACCTTGACCCATTCCGTGGGTTGTCTACCCCTCTTTTTGTTTGCCCACTTCACCTCCCATACTATTATCGGCAACCTCTCCTCTCCCATCCCGCGCATGCGATACTGCCATGTCAGCTTCCTTACGTCTCTTCCCGACCGTAGGGATTGGATCCCCAATTCTGCCCTAACGGCTTCGTTACTTGTGCGCTTGGAGCATCCTAGGATGATCCGGAGGGGGGTATTATCTTGCGTCGTATGTACGGTGCACAGTCCTTTCGCTCGTCAAAATGTTTATGCTAAAGTGTATCGTCGTTGTGGCTTCTCCCGTCGCACGTGGCAGGTGGTTTGGAGATCCGCTGTAACCGGGCGCCAGGTACACGGGCAAAACCGGGACGAAGCCCCTGAAGCAGCTGCTGCTGACGAGCTCTCTCCCGGCGACCACTTGGGTCTACCGCCAGCACTCCCGTCCCCGTTCACGCTCGCGGGCTGGCTCTCGTGCTGGGGGCAAGCGGGCGCCGCGGTACGGGCCGAGGAGGAAGAGGAAGAGGGAGAGGAGCGGGCGCTGCCTCCCCCTCCCCTATTCAGCGGCGTTACGGAGGGAGAGAAGGTTGGCGTTTCGCTCTGTGTTGGGTGGTGGAACAAGCTTGTTGGTGTTGGTGCTGGTGGTTGTTTTGCTAGTGGGGCACTGATGATGAGGGATTATTTATCGCCGACGGTGTTCTAGTCGTGTACTGCTGCTGCTGCTGCTGCTGCTGCTGCTGCTGCTTCCGCCGGCGGCTTGGAAGTCACGCGATAGTGTGCGCAACAGAGTAGTGGGTCGTTGTGAGACAAGTGAAGACAGTGGACAGCGTGTGTGCTCTGGCGGAGCACGTGTTTGCTGCGCTTAAATTAAATCCCGCTCATTCCTCGCACTCCTGAGTTTGTCCGAAACCAAGCCCCCTGCGTAGAAGGAGCAAGGAAGCCTCACATGTTTGCGTATGCATGTATGTGTTGTGGCGTACGATTTGGTCCAGGCGCTCCACTTCCTCGAGACGATATCCCCGGGCCCCCTGCTCGTGCAGCTGCTTTCTGCCCTCCTGGGTCTGTCGGTTTTCGTCCTGGAGGAGGCGTGTTTGGGGGCCGACAGCCTGCCGAGCGTGGAGGCAAGCAATTTGCATCTATCCCAGAACCGTGAAGTAGTAGACGGAAGGGTCGGCGAAGCGTGAACTCCATTGGAAACCGTTTCTCGCGTCATCCCCGCCCCCCGCCCTCCTCCATAATTTTATCCTCACATTGCTGTGCCTGCCTAATTGACGGAAAACTGACGTGGTCCGTTCCCGGCTTTTCCTGGGATACCATGGTGACCCGTTTCCCCGCCTCTCCCGGGATACGAAGGTCGTCTGTTGCCGTCGGTTTCGTGAGATAGCACGCACCCTGGACCGATTCCAACGCTCGATTGCGCTACAGCAAGCGCAACGATAGAGCCGTCTCGTCCGAGGACTCTCCGATCGCGTACATTATCATCGGTCGTGGTGTCATACTCTCGTGTCGTGGAGACTTCGAGCCACAACGGTCGGGGTGTGGAATTTGCCGACGGTAGTACGCTTCCGAGTCGCACGACGATGAGTACGTGCTTGTGTTTGACTCCCTCCTCCTTGTGTGGCGCGACAACAAACTAGTGTATTTACTTGTATTTTCATTCGCCCCTCCTATTGTGTGTACCATGTGCGCGTCCTTGTCAATAGGTGTCCTCTGACCTCTTGATTTACCCAACCTCTTGGTATGAGCGTAACTCATACTTGCGTTGGCCCCTGTGGGCCTCGTGCGAGTCCTGATCCATTGCTGTCCCCTAACTCTAGATGTAACGCAGCCTCTCGGGTTTTGGCTGGCATCTCCTTTCCGGTGTACCGTGTGCACGTCCTTGTCCGTATCGGTAGGCGTCCGTTGACACCGCGAGGCGAAAGGTGGCGGAGGCGGTCGAACTCCTCTCCAGCGCGTCTACAACAGCTACCCACGACGACGCCGAGGGCAGCAGCACCAACAGCAGCACCAACAGCAGCACCAACACAACTACCACCTTGGTAGAGGGGAGGAGGAGGGAAAACGGCTGTAGCAGTGGCGCCGGTAGTGGCGGTGGTGACAGTGGCAGCAGCAGCAGCAGCAGCAGCAGCAGCAACAACAACGGCGGCGGTGGCATCAGCACCAGTCTTGATACTGCCGCGGAAGTTTCTCGGGAAAGTTCTCGAGATCGTTCTTCTTTGTCGCCGTTCAGAACGGCACTGCTTGCCGCGGATGGCGCTTGCGTCGCTGTCAAGAGGGCCGAGACTGCTCTTTCGAGGGCAGTGTCGCTCCAAAGATCACTACCGGGGAAGGTGAGAGAGGCTTGTGGAAAATTTTCACTAGAATAGTCCACGCGGAGTTGTTTGTGTGTGAACATTGTCAATATGTCTGTTTTCGTGTTGCCATGCCATTGATTCAGTTTTTCGCCTTGGCATGTATAATTGATCCCATCAGCAGAAGTCACATACGAAGAAGTTTACTTTTTTGGTGGTTTCCGCGTTGCTTCTTGCGTTATTTTTTTGTCGCGAGAAGGATTCAGCCGTCCCTCGATTGATGTTGTTGTTGTTAGTGTTGTGCTGGTGCTGTTGTTCTTGTTTGTTTTCCCTTTGAACACCGCTCCGGTTTCTGCTCAATACCCGTTCAACACTCATATTTGAGCGGTAAATGCCACTGGCTTGGTGTCTTGCTCGAGCAAGGTCCACGCAGAAGATTCGTCTCCAAAAGCACCGTAAACATGCACAAACAGACGGATGTTTGAGCAAGTACACTTTGCCGCGTAAAGGGGAAAATGTTCTATGGTTTTTGTCGTTGTTCCCATTGTGTAGGCCTTCAAAATTGGCGCACGGATACATGTAGTACGAATCCATACGAACCTTTCCCACGCAAAGTCTTTGTTTATTGCACTCGTTCACCAGATATCCAGGGTCCCACTGTCAATTTTATGTGTTGCCGCTGATCCTTGATTTCGTTACTGCTGCTGCGTTTGTCGATCAAAAACACGCCGTCCATCATCAGAAGGATCTCGTGAACGATATGGTTGCCGCGTGCGGCGACGAGGAGGAGAAAGGAGGGGGAGAGGTGCCCGTGTCGGCCAGGCCTCACAAGGAGTTCCTCAGGGACTTGCTTCTCGCCCAAGGCATCCAGAAGACCCCCGGTTCTGAGCTGGACGAACTCTTGGCAAGGTACGGGCGTCTGGGTCTGCTTCGGTTGCTCTCTCGTCTCGCAATTTAGCGGCGTTTTGGTTTCCCAGCGTTGGATTGATAGCTGTTCCTCGGACGCGTAAGGTCGGGGGTGTGTCAACATATGTGTGTGTGCACTTTTGAATTTTGAATGTGCTTTTGAATTTGAATCGACGGCGCTAACCGGCTGACCAAAACGAAAATACGCCAGTCTCAGTGGCGGCTGTGTGCGCATGCGTTTCTTTTGTTGTTGACATCGAACGCGCGAACCGACTTATCAGTGAAAAGGCGCCAGTCTCAGCGGGGTTAACAACGGGACCCCGTGAGTGTGTGTGTGTGGTGTGGTGTGGTGTGTGTGTGTGTTGTGTGTGTGTGTGTGCGTGTGCGTGTGTGTGTGTGTGGTGTGTGCGTCTTTATTTCCTGCATCGGTCCCTTGTTCTGGACGTCTGTTCGTATCTCCTTGCGGTGTGTTGGATGGGCGCATCAGCCGGGGTCACACACGAGGAAGGAAACACAGCAGTTTTTGGTGAATCGAACGCCAACAATGCTGGAAGAAGAAATACGTGGGCACGGGCAGTTCCAGTGATTTTGATCATGTGCGCAGATTTTCCGCGTATGGTCTGCGTTGCGCGGCGCTTAACTGCCATTTGCGGGTGATTATCAGACGAGAGAAAAGATTGGGGGCCGAGAGAGCCTTGCGTTGTTGTGGGATTTTGAGTTTATCGGTTGCTTGTCATTTCAGTTCGTTAGCCGATAATGGTCTTCTTACTTGCCTCATTCCGCGTCCCCGTGTTTTTTTCTGGCGTTCGTTCCAGCTACGACGAGGAGCACAGACGAGAGGAGTTGAGGGATGAGGGCGGTGCCGTCGGTGGCGGCGGTGTCATGCCTCCTCCCGAAACGAAGGAGTATGTATTGAGGTAAGTGTAGATATTGCTTTTCGTTGCGCCCATCCCTGCTGCATCGTTCCTTTTTATAGACGCCTTGTAGCAAGTAGGTCTGTTGCTCTCGGGGCGTGCACCCCCGAACTCCTTGTTCTCTTCGGGACCCCCGAACCCCTTTGTTCTCTTCGTGGCCCCAGAACTCCTTGTTCTCTAAGTGACCCCAGAACTCCTTGTTCTCTTCGAGACGTGAAAAGGCGAACACCCACCATCTACGCTTTTCTTGGTGGGAGAAGGAAGGGATGTTGTTGTAACTCGCGTATCTTCTCTCTTTCAGAATGGAGGTCCCGATATAGTGCGGTTCCACGATGTCGGGGCCTTACCGCTGTTGCCCATTGGGCAATGCATGGGTTCGGTGTAGTCGGGGCAATTCATTGCCAAGAGATTCTGACCGCGCTATGTAAACAGGGAGTCCTGCACTGTAGAGGGACGGTGCACTGTATCGGGACCCTCGCTTAACTGCGCAATTTTGCCTCGTGCGTATTTAGTTTGTTTGGTTCGTCCGGCTGACAGTTTTTTGGACCGGTGCGTGCTCTTCTTGGTCCTTACTGCGCTGTTGATGCTTTCCCGGATCGTACTCGTTGCCCGTTGGGAATCCACCTCGTTGCCCTCGAAGCAGCCAACCACACTAAACCCTAACCCTAACCCTAACCCTAAAAAGAGGCTGGCGTGAGTCAGAACCTAAGTAAAGTACGTTTTTTGGTCAGAAACTTGCGTAGGCATACGCAGTCAGAACTTATCGTGAAAGCTTTACAGTCAGAAACTTATGCAAGCATTAGGTTGCAAGCCAGCCCCCCCAAAACCGCACCCTGACTGGGACACGTGTCGAACGTTGTGCTGTGCCTTTGTCCATGGAAGGCTTTCGCGCCCGCTGGACCGGCACGGGCGTTAGGTTAGATCTCACGGAGCAGAGACCACGGGCGTTAGATCTCAGTACTGAGCAGAGGCCGGGAATTTTATAGAATCAAGGAGCAACAAAGAAAAAAAAAGGGAGGGGAGCAGGTCCGCTGCTCCTATATAGCGTCGAGGTACTCACAGATAGGTAAATAGTTGTTTGATCTCTTGTTTTAGCCTTCTTGGACCAGGTCCCCTCGGCGCTCACTCGGAGAGGGCGAGGGCGGGGCTGGGATTCTGATGTTGCTTCAAGTAGTAATTCAATACCTGATTGTATCGCAGCTTGCCTCTGGCAACCGTGTGCTGGTCCTCTGGGAGTTTTTTTTGTACGTTTTATGTATGCGGTGCTGCAGAGTTTGAGAAAATAATTCGGCAAATCCAAAGTATTGCTGTAGACTAACGAGGCCAAATATCTACATCCAACGAAAAATCACAATATAGATGTAGCGCTCGTACAACGCTCACACACATGCTCATAACCTAGTTTTCTCCATTACACAACTGACCCCCTAACCGTAACGCGATCTATGGTGCGATGCCGCAGGTGTCAGACGCCGGCCCCTTTCTACAGCCGCAACGTTGGTCGCGGCCAGATGGAGGCATACCCAACTCCTCCCAGCAGGATGTACGCCAAGACGGACGGGAGCAACCTCAGGGTCGCCCTCTCCCTCTGCGAATCAGATATTTAGGGTTACGGTTGGTTCGGGCTATTTGTTTCTTAATCCTAGACTTGCGGTCGACTGGATTGGGGGATGCTCCGGGGGGGTCGAAAAATAGGTTCGCAGGGAGCGGGTGTACCAACTGGTCGGATTTTTCCAGAGCCGGAGACCTCTTGTTGCTTCGAACCCCTGGCTCGTGTCCCACAACCAAGCACAAGATATGTATGGCCTCACCGACTACTTCCAGAAATGCTTGCGGCTCTTTGGTGTGGACCTTTGCTTGCGCGAGACTCGGTGCCTTGTGCAACCCCGGGGCCTTGCTCTAAGGCTGCGAAACTGTAAATGCATGGTATGCTTATTGGTCGGTACACGACTCACCGTATACTGCAGTAGCGCCGTGTGGCATATATGCTGGAACGCGTTGTTGTGAGAAATGGACCGTGCGCCGCCTTGTTTAACGTCTTGTTTACGACTCGTGACTGCTGTTGGACGTTGGCTGTCAACCTTGCTCGTTCTGTGCGCCATCGATCGTGACCCCAATTTTGAAGTTTTGAAAAAAGACGGCCTTCGGTGATGTACCCTTCGCGAACCGAAAGCTACTTACTTACCGCCAACACCGCCTCTTTTGTCCGGCTGGGGAAAGTACGCGCCCATCGGCAGCTAAGAAAATGACCTCCAACAAGCACCTGAAGCCATTCGGCTGCCCTGCCAGGGTGGGCGGAAATCACCCTGGCGAGGTCTCCGTGGGGATGCCACCGTTCAGAGCTACTGCGATGTTGTCCGTATTGCCCACAGTGCGGTCTGTGACCCAGCAGCACACAGACAAGCACGTCCAAGCGCACAAAACACACTCATTTCATGCCATGGCGACAAACTCCCATCATCTGCGCTAAAGGAAAGCTGTCAACACGACCCTCCTGCCGTTGTTCACTAACAAGAGGCGTCTGTTTGGCCAGTTGTCGCCTAAACAACATGGTAGAAGAAGTTGCCTAAAAAAAGCGTGTTGGAAACACTGAAACCCAGTCTTGACCGACGTCGTTCATTCGTTGTTCCTGGTTGCCTTTTCGTCGATATAAATCCAAGCGAGACATAGCGTACACAACGCGCGGGCGGCAACCGCGCGCCCCCTCCTTCTCTATCAAATACAACACAAAACACACACTCCCTCTCCTTTCTACATGGCAAGCGTCATCTCCTTGACTTCTTGCTCTCTTCCTGCTGCGCTATCCCCCCCCCCCAAACCCCCCCGACCCTTTTTTAAAAAAAATAA